AACAAAATGAAAAGACAACCCACTGCAAGGGAGAACATATTTGCCAATGATACATTTGATAAGAAATTAACGGGCAAAGGACTGAATAGATACTTCTCCAAACAGGACATACAGATGGCCAATAGACATATGAAAGGATGCTCAATGTCAGTAATCATCAGAGAAATGAAAATTAATACCACAATGAGATATCACCTCACACCTGTCAGAATGGCTATCATCAATAAATCAACAAATAATAAATGTTGGCAATGATGTGGAGAAAAATGAACCCTCATGCACTGCTTTGGGGAATGCAGATTGGTACAGCCACTGTGGAAAGCAGTATGCAGTTACCTCAAAAAAGTAAAAATGGAACTGCATTATGACTCAGCAATTCCATTTCTGGGACTATGTTCAAAGAAGCCCAGAATATTACTTTGAGAGAATATAATAGCACCCCTAAGTTCACTGCAGTGCTATTTACAATACTCAATATTTGGAAGCAGCCCAAGTGCCCTTCAGTCAATGAATGAATAAAAATAGCTGTAGTACATTTATACAGTGGAATACTACTAAACCATAAAAAAGGAAATCTTACTTTTTGCAACAGCATGAATGGACCTTAAGAGCATTATGCTAAGTGAAATAAGCCAGTCAGAAAAAGACAAGTATCATATGATTTCACTCATATGTGGAATCTAATGAACAAAATAAACTGACAAACAAAATAGAACCAGAGGCATGAATACTGGCAACAGGCTGACAGCTGTCAGAGGGGAGGGGAGAAGGAGAGCTGGGTAATAAAGGTAAAGGGGTTAAGCATAAACAACTCTTACACACAGAACAGTATGGTCATTACCAGAAAAAAAGAGGGGTAGAGGGAGGTAAAAGAGGGATAAGTGGTGATGGATGAAAATTTGACTAGGAGTGGTGAGCACACAATACAATATACAGATGATGTATTGTAGAACTGATACCTGAAACCTATATAATTTTATTAACTAATGTCACCCTGATAAATTCAATAAAAAATAATAAAATAAAATAAAAATGAACAACTATAAAATATCGGTAGCCCTGGCTGGGTGGCTCCATTGGTTGGAGCATCATCCTGTACACAAAAAGGTTGCAGGTTTGATTCCCTGTCAGGGCACATATCTAAATTGTGGGTTCAGTCTCCAGTTGAGGTGTGTATGGGATGCAACCAATTGATGTTCTCTCTCACATACATGTTTCAATTTCTTTCCCCCTTCCTTTCTCTCATTAAACAAACAAATAAAACAAGAATCTCACCTTCTGGTAAGGATAAACAAAATTGAATAGATTATTGACCTTAGCAATTTTACCTCTGGGGGTGTTTTAGCCTCCCTTCTAATGTTTAGAGAAAGTATAGGGCCATCAACAAATGTTTGGAACCTTAGGGCTAGAGAGATTTTTTTTTTCACATTCATTGACTATTTTAAATATAAAAAGAAAGTCCAAGAAAAAAGTTTACATAATTATAGGAAATGTTTCATGATAAATATGTTTATAGTGAAGAGAAAACAAGAACACAGTAAAACACGATTTTAGTTACAGGCTTTAGTTGGTTCCATTTACTGGATTATTTTTATATCTATTCAAAATAACTTTTAAAGGTTTCTAAAGACACAGATAAGAGGTTGACCACACATCCTGTTTCCCCAGATGGTCTTGTGATACATTTCTGCATATCCTGTCTGGTTAGTGACCATATTTCTCTCCAAAGTACTTTGGTTTGAAAGAAAAATTTATGATCATCCCAAAGATAAACCATATTAAAATTATGTGAGAATAATAATGTGATAAAAATAGCTGAAATGCCTCAAAAGAAAGATCAATTTTTCAAAAAAATTCTCAGAAACATTATTTTTTCATATTTTCAGTGTTGAGCACACTAATGTATTAAAAAAACATGTTCCAAAAACTAAATATCTAATATGGAGTAATGATAATAGGGTCATTTAACTAGTTGAAAAGTCCTTGATTTCAAGCCATTACTAACAGTCATATTTAAACTTTCAAAAAATTTAAGAAAAATAATTTTCAAAGATTCTCATTAAAAATGAGTCACTTAAAAGGTCAATTTTATAAGATATTTTGAAAGACTTTTAAATGTTTAGAATCTTTCTCTAGCACTTAGAGTTTCAGTTATGTTAATTCCAGAAAAAGAAACAGTATTCCATTATCTGGAACAAGCTAAACTTTGTGTGTGTGCTATGGACCAGTTTGGACCACTTTTGAAGCCTATGAACCCCTTCTAAGAAAAATATTTTTTAAATGTGTAAAATAAAATACCAAGTATTACAGTGGAAACCAATATTATTGAAATGCAACTATCAAAATATCAAAATATACTTTAAAACAAGCATGACAAAGTACTATATGAGCTTCTTCCTTAACCTATTAAATAAAATTATTGAACAGCAGGTATAATAACTATCATAGGTACTGCTCATGCTACTTTGGTTTCTTGACTAAATTCACAATTGGAGAATTGTGAGGTTAGCAAAAATGAAGTTGTGATCCCCCCTCCCCAATCAAGTTCATAACCTCTTTAAATTCACAGGTACATAATTAATTCATCAAACAACTACTAAATGTTGTGATCAAGCTACAAAAACATTTATAAAAACAACCAGCCCACTGAATGCTTTTTTAAGGAAAAAAAAAGAATCTCACTGAAAATTCAGTTCATTGTATGAGTGAGAGCTGTTAAACATAATACAGGATATATTAAATGTATTGAACAGAAACAAAGTAGGCATTTTCCAGGATGTTTTTAAAAACAAGAAATAATAATCTCCTAAAAAATAGATATGCATTTTATATTATGCAGTGTCTCCCTTAACCCTATCATTAACATTTTATAATCAAAGTTATATTTTACACATATTTTTCTTCAGCTTTGCATTTTCTTATTTTAATAGTGTAATATATTAACTGGTGGTTTAAACTTTTTTTTCTCAGAACTTTGAATGAAATCCAATAAGCAGGGACATCAAATGTACATACACACAATTAAGGCCCTCAGCATCAATGGCTTCATTTCCTGGAGCAGACTACAGATGACTGGAATTAAACTCAGATATTACTAAGAGACAAGATAGAATCAGAGTTCATTGGAACGGAAAGTGCCCATAGAAGCCACTTTGTCTAATCCCTCATTTTACAAAAGAGGAACCAGAGACAATGAAAGGTTAAGGGACTTTCTCAGGACCCAAGATGATCATGGAAGAACTTAGTCTGAGGGTTAATGCAACACTCCATCCACCACCCACTCTGCAAGGACGAATCCTATTCCTGGGTCCATTTCTATCAAAGAATAGCTTTGAAATTATTGAAGCAAGAGGTTACAATAAATTAAAAAGACATCTTAAAGAGTTTTGTTTCCAAATATGAGAATTAGAAGACTTAAATGCTGATCACATGTCTAGAACAGAGGCCTTATAAGAATATTAAAGATCAATAATTTGTTTTGAATAGCTTTCAAGGTCTAATGATTAGCAATGTTATTAAGACTATTGAAAACTCAGTAAAGCATTCCCTAATTTAATTATTTTAGATGGCCCTTTTTTCCTGATCATAAAAGGAATACACATCTATCATAATAAGTTTGAAAAGACAAGGAAAAATGAAGAAAATATTAAGCAGTCATATCAAAATAAGGTCAAAGATAATATTGGTAATATTTTAGCACATTTATTTTAAAAATATATGTATATGTGAATATATAGATATAAAATAAGCTTACATATTAAGATAATATTGTATATAAAATTTTATATTCTGCAATTTCTCTTAGCATTAGACCATGAGCATCTTCCCACTGAATTTAAATTATTTCCAAAATATCATTAATGTGAAATCTATGTTTGGTTGTTATTAAAGTAATATAGTTTAAAGACATTATAATCAATACAATTATCACCTATAACTTTTGATCAATGGATTATGAAGGCATTGGATCAGGTAACTAATGCATTACATTGCTCCAAATAAAAAGTTTAAAACATATGTTTACAAGATAGTCTTTAAGAAAATTTAAATGTAAATGGCTAAAATTATTGGGCAAAACTGCATAATATTCCAGGAAATTACAGAAATAAAAATCCAGAGATAATATCTGCTACTATTATATGCAGGAACATTTGAAAAGATTTACAACATTACATCCTGACAGAGCACTGTCAAATCATGAGGGAACTCTGCTTACACAAGGAAGCAGCATCGGTGCAAACATTTAGTACCTGACTTACCACAGAAGTTTAATAAATGTTTGTTGAATGAATAAATGGGAATCAACTTATCAACATGTATCTAGACACATGAATATGATCATACTCTTTGACTGATAATCTTACTTAAGGAAATATATACAATACATACACTCAGGTACTCACTGCAGTTTTCTTAACGGAGAAAAATCAGTCACAACTAAATGTCCAAGACTAGTATAATGATTAAGTAAATGATATAGGTAATAAAGGATCATGAAGATAATTTTCAAATTAATTTAACAACTATACTAAAATTATAAATATCTTGCCTATAATTCTTAGTTTTAAATTATTGAAATATTTTTAAAATATTGGTGTATTTAATCTCTTGGTATAAGATTGTATTCAATTCTTTTAATGAAAGAATTGTTCATTTAAAATTTTTTTAAAAATCATTGCATTAAAAAATTTCAAGAAACCTTGGTGAATAAACCATTTTTTCTTCCAAAATATATTTTTATAGTCAAACTCAAAAGTATTACCTAGTTATTTGTCTCTAAATGTCACAGGGTCAAGACTTCCTTTGATAGTTACACCAATGGGGAGAGAAAGAGTCTTGATGTTCTGCTTTCCCAGTGCCCTGACTTAGCTCACTCTGTTTCCTCTGACCTACTCTCAGCCTAAGTAGTGGGAAATTTGTTAAAATGAATATACTTTAACATACACACACACACGACTTTAAGAGTGATAACCTTTCAAAAACAACCTAAGTCACAATACCTTTATGAGCTCTGGTGGCTCATTTCCTTCTTCCACCACAATTACGTGAGATCTTCCATTCCTTTCATTGTCCCGAATGCCATTGGCAACTTGGCTGGCCTTCAGACGCTCATACTTGTTGCACGAGGAACCACACCATTGGTAGATTTCCTAAAAGAAACAGACAGATCTTTTGACCCCAGTAATATATGGAGGACTTCAGGCCGACTATAAAACACATCACGATTACCTACAAAAACACAACGAAGAAACAAAAAACATTTACTAACCCCCAAAGCTATAAAAAATAAAATTAAAGAAATATAAGGTCACAGGAGACCAGACTTCAGGTGGTTAGCACATACAGGTATTTTACTATAAAGTTGTGTACCTGAAATTTATATAATGTTACTAACCAATGTTATTCCAATAAATTTAGTAATAAAATATTTTTAAATGATCTATTGTTGTTATACATATTTAATTTATACTTCATTCTGTATTGTGTTGCTCTCAGCTAGCATTATAAAATAAGCATTTTTAAAACATGAAAAATATAAATACATATCTCACCATTCTTTGCATAAGTAATCCACTAAGTACAACTTATGAAAATAAGCTTATATAGACTACATAAATTTAAAACAATAAATCTACCATATTTCAGAATGGTGGTCAACAATCTGCTATAGTAATATGCTCTTGATGATTATAAAAACTGATATAACACAGTTGTAAAGCAATGAAATAATTATTATCAAGAGACATAAAAGTTTTAGAACTTATGACCCAGTAGTATCACTATCCAAAATTTATGTTAATAAACTATTCATAAGCAGAAAAAAATCCACATATAGAAGGGTTTTCATTGTTATGTGATTATACTAGTGAGGCATTGGGAAGATATTAAATGTTCAATAATAGAATAATAGTTATATAAATTATGACACAGAAAATATAGATACTGAAATATCAAAGTTATATTTCAATAGCAATTTAGAGAAATAGAAACAGAACAGTGATATAGTATAAATTAAATAGATTATATTAGCTGATATTTATATTAAAATATATACTTTAGACTTGGATACAGTATTCAAAAGCTATACAAATATAAAATAACAATAAAGCATCATTTTCTCCATTGAATGTGGTTAACAAAAATGCAAAAGAGCAGTTTAATAGTACCTTGGCCTCGTGGGGTGTGGAAATGGGCATTATTACATACTCTGTGGGTGCTATAAACTGACATAGCTTTTCTTGAGGGCAGTTTGGCATCATATGAAAAAAATATGTTTTTAGAATAAAAAAATTTTACTCCTAAGAATCTATTCTATAGTAGTCAAACATGAGATACAAAAACAAAGAAATAAAACAAAAACTTTCCATCCCTAAAAGATGGCTGTATAAATGTCATTACATGGATACTGCAGACTACATTTCAGTGCTTGAAAATTGAGGAAAATATTTCAATACTGATGTAGAAAATTATCCAGGGTATATCATCAAGAATAAAATAAAGCCACAGCACTGGCCGGTTTGGCTCAGCAGGTTGAGCGTCGGCCTGCGGTCCAGAGAGACCTGGGTTCGGTTCCCACTAAGGGCATGTACCTCGGTTGCAGTTTGTCCCCGGCACTGGTTGGGTCGTGCGGGTGGCAACCACTCAATGTTTCCCTTTCACGTCAATGTTTTTCTCTCTCTCTCCCCCTCCCACTCTATCTGAACAAAATATCGAAAAATGTCTTCGGGTGAGGATAAAAAAATAAAATAAAATAAAGCCACAGAGCCCAACTGATGTGGCTCAGTGGATAGAGTGTCATCCTTTAAACTGAGGGGTCCTGGTTTGATTCTCAGTCAGGGCACGTGCCTGGGTTGTGGGCCTGATCCCAGAAGGGGGCGTGCAGGAGGCAGACAATCGATGTTTCTCTCTCACATTGATGTTTCTATCTCTTGCTCTAAAAAAATGAATAAAAACATATTTAAAATAAATAAATAAAATAAAGCCACAGAATAATATAGCTCCAATCAAGTAGAAACAAAATTATAGTCTTTGTTTCTGCATTTGTAGAAAAAGATTTTTAAAGACACAGTTTTAATACATGGGATCGGTCATGTAAATGCAGAAAGAAAGCCTTCAATTTTTACAGTATCTAGATCAGTGTTTTTTCCTTTTAAAAAAACAATGTCATTCATATTTATTAGGTACCTAATATGAGCTAGATGTTGGAGATAAAGAGGTGAATAAGAGAAAATAAGCAGGAGAAATTGACATGTAAACAATTAATGCCAATAATATATTTGCACTACATTTGGTTTTCAAAAGTTTCCACACATACTTCATCTACTCGGTCTTGGAGAGGGGGTTAGTATAGTGATTAAGTGTAAAAGAGACAGACCACTTACAGGCAACATGACTTTATGTTTGCAATTTTTAAAAGAGTTAAAAAATTAATAACAGCAAAAAATAGTGTACCCAAGATTCAAAGACACTGGCTGTTTTCTCTGACGAGACATTTCCAGTCCAGAGTCATTTTGTTATTCAGAAACAGTTTACGGCTGGCCTAAAGTGAGGCAGGCTCTCTGCCAGGCCCTGGGGGTGCAACGTGGAACCACATTGGCCTGCTACGGTCTCTCTGATGCCCTCACCCCATCCCGTTTCTGATTGATGTATTCCATATTTCTCTTTAAGAATAAATAGGTTTTAGGAATATGAGCCTTTATAAGAAGAAAAATAAAGACCTATGCTTTGCAATGCCTTCTACTCTTGACTTTGATTTAGTTATTCAACATGGTCAAGAGGCATTTTGTTTCTGTTTTTAAGAGAACTGTGCACTTCTAATATTTCCTCTCAAAACTTTTTCTACATCTGGGCATCTGGGCTCACATTTGGGGACCATTTGAATACTATGCCCAGGTTAGCAGTTACAAAGAGTGAAAACAAATGATTCCCAATAATCAGCCAACCTCTATTCACTGAACATTCATTCAAATCAGGAACAGAAGTAGAAAGGTGATTTTTCTGTTAATAATTATTTTTTTCAAGTTTAGTCGACTTTCAATATTATATTAGTTTTTGGTCTGCAGCATAGTGGTTAGAGTTTTTTTTTTTTTTTTTTTTTCTTTATTGATTTTAGAGAGAAAGGAAGGGAGAGGGAGAGAGAGAGATAGAAACATTGATGAGAGAGAACATTGATTGGCCGCCTCCTGCATGCCCTACACTGGGGATTTGGCTCACAACCTGGGCATGTAACCCAACCGGGAACCGAACCAGCAACCTCTTGGTGCATGGGTTGATGCGCAACCACTGAGCCACACCAGCTGGGAGGTTAGACATTTATATAATTTATAGAGTGATTCCCCCCTATAAGTCCAGTACCCCTGTGGTACCATACATAGTTATTAAAATATTGTTGACTATATACATCCTATTTAATAACTACCAATTTATACTTCTTTTTGTTGTTGTTATTAATCCTTACCTGAGGATATTTTAAGAGCTACATCAAAGAGTTTACAGCCTATTTTTTACTTCCAAGAGTTTTATGGTTTTGGGTCTTACATTTAAATCTTCAATCCATTTTGAGTTTATTCTTATATATGATGTAAGAAGTGTCCTAGTTTCATTTTTTTTTTGCTTGTATTTGTCCAGTTTTCTTACATCATTAATTAAATAGACTGTTTTTGCCCCATTGCATATTCTTGCCCCTTTGTCATAGCTTAGTTGAGCATATAGGTGTGTGTGTTTATTTCTGGGCTCTCTGTTCTGCTCCATTTTCTATATGTCTGTTTTTATGCCAGTACCAAGCTATTTTGATTACTATAGCCTTGTAGTATATTTGATATCAGGTAGCATGATACTTCCAACTTTGTTCTTCTTTCTTAAGATTGCTGTGGCTATTTGAGGTTTTTAATAGTTCCATGTAAATCTCAGGATTGTTTTAGTTCTATGGGAAAATGCCATTGGTATTCTGATAGGAATTGCATTGAATCTGTAGATTGCTTTAGGTAGTGTGAATATTTTAAAAGTGTTAATTCTTTCTATCCATGAACATGTTTATGCTTTCATTATTTGTATCTTCTCTAACTTCTTTCTTTCTTTCTTTTTTAGTATATAGTCAATTTATTATAAGTTACATCTTCCAATAACAGTCTTTACCCACACATAGAGATAGTCACCATTCAGCTAAACAACTTAATGGAAGAATTTTCTGTATTTAAGCTCTTTTATTTAAGAGCAATAGTTGGTAAATACCCATGAACTAATTTTGACATACTGTCTATTTTTATAAATAAAGCTTTTTGGCACATAGCCACACTCATTTGTTTACATATTGTCTGTGGTTGCTTTCATGCTACAATGGCAGAATTGAGTATAAACTGAGAACATTTGGCCTAGAAAGCCTAAAACATTTACTGTGTGACTATAGAAAAGTTTTCCAACTCTTATTCTAGGGTATTCAAAATATCACAAGATTAATGAATCAAAACCACTCTGAGATCCTAGAAACACTGAAAACAAAGAGTGAAACCATTTGGAAATGAAGAATGACAGCAGAAATAAAGCACACATTGGAAGGAATAAACAGTGGAGTAGAAAAAGCTGAGGACTGGATCAGTGAATTAGAAGACAAGGTAGAAAAAAATCACCCAATCAGAAAACCGAAAAGAAAAACAATTTAAAAACAGGAAGACAGCGTAACTGTGGGACAACTTGAAATGTAACAACAACATCCACATCATCGAGGTTACAGAAGAAGAAGGAAATGAGCAAGAGTTAGAGAATATATTTTAAGAAATAGTGACAGAAAACTTCTCTAATTTCTTTCTTCAATGTCATTATTTTTTGAGTACAGATCTTTTTACCTCCTTAGTTAAATTTATTTGTAGGTATTTTTTAAATGTAATTGTAAATGGGAATTGTTTTCTTAATCTCCTGTTAGCTTTTTTTTTTTTTAATCCTCACCTGAGGGAATGTTTTCATTGATTTTGGAGAGAGGAGGGAGGGGGAGAGGAGAAAGAGAGAGAAAATCAATTGTACTGGGATCAAACCTGAAACCCAGGTATGTGTCCTGACTGGGAATCAAACCTGTAATCTTTGGGTGTACAGGATGATGCTAGAACAAACTTAGTCACCCAACCAGGGCAACCTCTGTTAATTTCTTATTGGTGTA